CGGGGTCGCGGACAACGCTGATGCCGAGGCAATACCGGACTTCACCTAAGTCAGATATCGCCCAACGGGACCGTAGTTGTGTTTTAAAGGTGTCGTTGGCGGCCGGCCGCGGGGAGCTCGAGGCACATATCATATTGTCAACATGAACGGCTACAATTGTGGTCTCACCCCCGGGGCCATGACGGACGTAAACACACCATTCACATAGCAGGCGGTGGAAACCCCAGCCCAGCATCGCCTCGTGCATGTGCTTGTTCCACGCCCGCCCTGCTTGCTTCAGCCCGTATAACGACTTCACCAATTTCCACAGCCATTGCTCTTTCCCCTTCTCCTCAAAGTGCTTTGGTTGACGTGTATACTGGTATTCATCCGGTGGCAGGTCGGCGTTGAGGAACGCAGTCTTGACGTCGACTTGTTGGATGTCCCATCCGCGCGATGCAGCGACGTGGAGAATGGCGCAGAAAGATTCCAGGCACGCGGTCGGTGATGTGGTTTGAGTGTAGTCATGGCGGTAGACTTGGCGGTAGCCCTTCACGCAGTAGCGTACCTTGTTGCGCACCACGTTGCCGCCGGAGTCGCGCTTCCTCACGTAGACGGGTTTCACATCGAGAATGGTCTTGCCTAGAGGGACGTTGGTGGGTGGTACCAGTTCGTAGACGCCGAAATGACGGAGGGCCTCAAGCTCCTCGTGAGTACCCTCAATCCACTTCTCAGCGTCCGGCGACGCCATGGCCTCAGCATAAGTTTTGGGGTCGTCTGGGAACTCGACGTCAATGGGATTTTCCGTGAGGTAGGCATTAAGTTGAGCCCACATGGCCGCTTCTTCGCCATCGTCGTCCTCTGGAGTTTCAGCAATTGTCTTCTCGATGTTGTGGAGGATCGCTAGCTCTCCGTCGTTTTCACTGGGCACCTCGTTGGCGGCAAGCGCATTACGGTGGCGTGCAGGTTTGGGAGCACGTTCAGACCGGCGTAATGGTGGCGGCGGAGGGGGACCAGGAGGAGGGCCGGGGGAAGTGGGTACCAACACCACAGGCAGAGATGGAGATGGGGTGGGCACAGATCGCGCGCCATCCGACACGTCCGGAGTGGCAGTGGTGAGGCTCGGGGGGTCGTCAGAGGACTGGTCATCAGGTACTCCAGCGGCAGACGGCACAGGTGTGCCCAACGCAGCGCGGTCTGCGAGCCGAGATTTATCCCAGGATACCTTCTCGACTTGACCTGATTTGATAAAACGCACGTTTATCGAGTTGTATACTTTCCCAGTGGAGCGCTCCCAGCACCGATATGACTTGGAACATGGGGTATAGCCAATGAGAACACATTCAAGGGAGCGATCGTACACTTTGGGGTTGTTGCCCTCGATGAGCACGAACGCGCAGCATCCGATCTCACAGAGGTGAGCAATATTTGGCTTCACGCCCTCGAAGCACTCGAATGGGGTGCGCCCACCCTGAGCTCTTGATGGTGTTCTGGCATGTAGATATGCAGCAGTCACGCAAAATTTGTCCCAGAGAAACGGGGGTGCCTTGCAGTAGATGCGCATGGCGCGGCCCTTGCTATGGATTGATAGGTGGTAGCGTTCGCACTTCCCGTTCATCTTGGAGACGTGGGGTGCGGTGTACTTGATCTCCGTGCCGCGCTCGGCGCACCATTCTCAAAAGCGTCGGACTTGAGTTCACCGTTGTCGATGACGAAGGTCCCCACTTTGTCGCCTGTCTTAGCCTCAATCGCAATGGCCCAGGCGCGGAGGTGTGTGAAGGTGGTCTGTTTATTAGGGATGGGGATGGTCCAACCACGAGTAGAGTAATCGTCGACAATATCAAGAGTATAAGAGTTTCCGCTTCGCGAACGGACCGCAACCTTTCCGCACAGATCCACATGCACCTGCTCCAGCCTCTGCGTCGACTTTGGGCCTTCACGGACCTTCGGTATGATTGCACGAGCCTGTTTTCTGTGTATGCATGCGTCACAAACTGGAGCATCAGAAGAGGTATCGAGATCCATACCCTCGGCCAGTTGGTCTTGGTACATGTCCGCGACATCCTGGTGGTTGGCGTGTCCCAGGCAGAGATGCCAGCTCCTGAGATTGCACGTGTCGGCAGATGCAATGGACGCGGCCGATGCAGGAGAGCAATCGAGCTGGTATAGGTGGCGCGTTGGGTGCACCGCACCCGTGCAGACCATTCCCTCTGCAGATGTCACCCACGCGCGAGCGGCATCAAAATGGAAGGTGAAGGGTTGGTCTTGGCATAGGCGAAGGACGGAGAGGAGACGTATCGCGGCGCCGGGCACGTACAGCACGTTCTTGATTGTGAACTTGTCGGTGCCGATGGTGCCGATGCCCAATGCATTGATAGATGTCCCCTGGAAGCCGCGGATCGCGCGAGGTGCGATGGGAGCAAAGGTAATGAAGTCGTCGCGGCATGGCGAGATGTGCACATTGGCGCCCAAGTCCGCAAATATGAGGAACTCTTCGGTGGCGGCATTTGCTGTCCAGTCGTCCCATTTCAGGGAGACGTGGGGGTCGACGTCAGCGAGCCATGTGTCCATGTCGGCGCCTGCGGGGAGTGGGTCAGTGACCAGGTCAAGCGTGTTCGCATTCGGAGCCGGCATCTGGGCTGGCACTGTGTCGGGGTCGGTCGACGTGACATAGAAGTCGGTGCCGTCGACTGTAATGTAGGCTCGGCCGTCAGGCTTCGCCTTGATCCTGGGTGCGGTCTTCGCCCCGTTCGTCCCGTCGCGAGGCTTCTCGCCCCTCGCGTTGAGCTTGCCCTCATCCGTGCGCTGTTTCACCTGAGCCTCCCGTATCGACTTCCCCTCCATGCCACTCCCGGACATTGTGCAATACTTCCACATGTGGGTGTCAGGCTTCGGGCATCCCGCCGTGGTGCAACATTTTCGATCCGTGTTCGCGCCTTGGGCAGCGTTCGCAGTGCCGCCTCGGCCACCCGCGATCCCGTCGAAATCGTGAATGGAGCGGAGGTTGTCCTTGAGGGTTGCGAGGTCCAAATTGGGGAGAGCGAGCATGTTACGTAGGAAGTCGCGGTGGTTGCACGCGAGCGCCGCCAGTATCCCAACGAGAAGGAAGGAGTCGGGGTCGATGGGGCCCGCTGCCCATATCGCGGTGTTCAGGTCGGTGAGGCGCTCGATCGTAGTGGAGAACGTGGTAGGGTCGTGTGCGAAATCGACAGACAAGAACTCATGCAGCGCCTTCACTTGACCTTTCGGCCTGCGATGCTCGTGGCGGTTCCGTAACGCGTCCCAGATCACCACGGCGGTCGTGCACGTTTTAAAGTGCTCGCGTTCCGTCGAGACGCACGCTCCCGATAGGTAGAAGTGTACGACCGTGTCCGAGTCCACCCACGCACAGTAGTGGGCCGGATGGATCGACGGCGACAGGCAGGTGTTGTCGTGGCTGAGGAAGCGTAGGGCACCGGGTTGGACACCGAGCTTGTGTGTTATCTTCGACTCCCATGGAATCCAGTTCCCGCACTCCAAGGATAGCTTGTCCGCGTCCGCCCATTGCCCTTGCAGCGAGAAGACCTTCGGGATCGGTCCCAGAGATGACGCAAGGTGTGGCTGAGACACCGAGGCCATCGGGTGTATGAATTGGGGCTGGTGGTATTGCATTGGCGGGGGTATCGCGTGGTAGAACTGAGGTGGGGGTGCATGGTGGGGAGGAGCGACGGGTGGTGGGTAAAACTGCTGTGCAAACGACTGGGGGAGTGGGTGATGGAACGTCGGGTGCGATGACAGCGGAGGCGTCACGAAGCGTGGCATGTAGCCGGGGTACGTGTCGCAGCCGGGGAACATGTCATGAGCGGGGGTCGCGCTTTGGAAAGGCGACGCAACACGCAGAGGGACGGATATGCCCGGTGGCGCGCTGCGTGGCCATGGTCCTGTGCGTCATTCTGGGACGGCCAATGCTGCTGGCGGGCGCTCAGGTTCGGCTGGAATGGATTTGAGGGAGATGACACTGGGCGAGTGTCGGGGTTCATAGTACCGCGCGGGTTCGTATTGACAAGAAAAAAGATCGTCGTGAAGCGCGCTGCACAATCGTAATACCAGCTCGCCGGGTATCTGTGGTCGCCAGGTGTATCGTATAGGTCCGTGCTCGTGGTCGTCAACACGCGAGCTCAAAGGCCCATAACCTATTGGAACCTATACGCTACGTGAGTATTCTAACTACGAAACCGTTAGCTAAAGTATGGATGAATACCAACAGAAAGACTTACCCTCACAGCGGTCCACGTCGTGGTAAGCGAGTGAGGGCAGTCGACACGGTTCGTCACGGTATATCAACACACGTGACGACCGGTCACACGTCATATCTAATCTAATAGTCTGTAGTCCATGCTGCACAGAACCTCGTCCGATACTTTCAAGCCCAATGAAAGGAGGAGTTTCACCAATAAAGAAAGGCATGTTGAAAGAACCGCTTTCAATGTGCCTTTCAAACAGATTGAAACAATGTGTTTCAGGCATCAAGAAACCTGCGCTATTTTTGCTATTGGTCCGGCATTGTCTGGGCCAATAGCAAAAATAGCTCAACCACTGAAACTGATTGTTTCAGGATGTCAGAAAGCTGCACTGAGGTGGTTTTTTCAGTGCTACTCTCTTTATTCCCGAAACTGGATATTTTGATATCATTGAAAGCTGCAATGAAACTTCAAGTTTCTGCAAGTCTTTCATGATCTGCAGAAACTATCTTTCTTTGTGGCATTGAAAGCACTTTTAAAACCATTTGATTCATTTTTGGTTGACATAACATTGATTCTCGTAGTTCAAGGTAAGAGGAAAACTCAAATTGATACTAGTGGAACCAGACTTGGTTTTTATCCTACCACAAACATTTCCCTTTCCAGTGTGCATATGCCTCGGGTTTTGCCCCTGGTGTTACGAAGACAATCTGACAAAAACTGATAGAACGCGAACTGATTTTCAAGCCCAAGCTCAATTATAGCTATAAAAAGAAAAACCGTAGAAATTGAGCAAAAGAATGATTCCAGCCGGGATCGAACCGGCGACCTTTTGCGCGCACCGAAAGGTGTAAAGCAAATGTGATAACCACTACACAATAGAACCTGTCTCTTTTTCCCTTTTTCTTTTCTCCTCCTTCTTCCTTCCTTTTCCTTCCCCTTTTCTCCTTCCCTTTTTTCTTCGCCTCTTTCCTTTCCGTTGGCGTTCCGGCGCCCAACAGTCCCTCCTTTCCCCTTCTTTCTTTCCAGCCGCGACCGCCGGCCCGATCCCTTTGAAACTAATGGTGGGGCTGATCCAAGGCTGATCGCGTCTAAATCCGTCGGCGCTGATCACGCAGTCACGTTGAACCGAACCACGACTTTTACGCCACGCTCATGGCCGACGATTCTGCTCTCCGTCGCTCGGGTCGAAAGCCGAAACCCACTCAACGCGAATTGATTCCAGCTGCAGAAGTCGTCCCGTCAAAGCGGAAAGCTAAGGATGTGGACCCTGCAGAACAACTGCGTTTCATGTTGCAGAACGCAAAGAGTCGCCTCGCGAAGATGGACATATCTGTGCGTTGCCGGCTAACCCCCCGGTAAAAACTCAATATGGACGCGGTTCTCTCAGGATCTCATTAACGCGAACTCTTGGAATATGCTCTCACCAGATTCGCGTTCTCAGCTTTCTGCTCTGCTTCCTCCCACTGCTTTCTCTTCCTATCAACCCTCTATCGGATCCGACCATCCCGCGGCAACGGACTCGATGAACGTCGACTCCAGTGGATCGGGTCCCATAGATACTTCGCTTTTCACCGACTCTCATTTTCTTGCCGCCGCACATACATTCCAGGATCACTTGTTTTCTGATTGGCTGTCTGATGCCCATGCCGAAAAAGTGAAGAAATATGAGCAGGGGATCAGAGACGGCAGTCTCGCAGCCCCGTGGAAGGATGAGGTTTGGGAACGCGAGAATGGAAAGGAAGAACCGGCCACTGCGCCTCATTCATCTCCGACGCTTGCTGGGTACGATATTTTTTTACTCGTTCCTGCATTTGGGTCCGTCAATTCTATGACTCTAGTGAGGCTGCGGAACTCAAACTTGTCGACCTTGCAAAGAGCTCGGTTTTGCGCGAAGGCGATATTCTGGTCTATAAGAGGCATTTCTCAAACCTAGCTGTAGTGGTGGAGAAGGATGTCATTGTAAAGACTTTGCTTCAATTCCCCTCGCCCGGCTAATGGTCTATATCTACTGCAGATTCAAAAAATCGATCCCCGCACGCACAGTCTGACAGTATTGGTAGAGCCGGGCACGACGCGCGATCTCCCCGCTCACCTCTTGATGCCGGGTCCCAGCGATCCCTCCGCGCCGACGCGGACCATGACGATCACGAGCCCAACGCAGCTCGAAAGCGGACTGCTCGATATATATGGGGTCGATAGAACGAAGAGACCGAACGGAAATGCATGGAAGGCATTCACACTGTGGCGCTGGACCGGGGATTCTGCGGAATACCACATGCAACGCGGGGGCAGAGAAGACCATGGCACGCTATTCTACTTGCGGGCGTGTCACTACGGAGATAGGTGAAAAAACTTGGCCCCGAGGTTCTATTATACTGTATGTTTCCACTTTGTTTCGGCAACCTTCATCTAACTGAGTGACAATCAACTCCGTAGCGCTCGTCGTTGTAAATTTGTACAGCCCACAAATTCGCATGTGTTTTCGATGAAGGAAGATGTCATTCGGCGTGTGCATTCTGTCGACCTGTCTCTGGATACCCTCTACGTCGGACTCGTCGGACAGTGGTGCCACAGGCACAGTCCGCTCATCTGATTGCGTTCTTTCCAAATCGGGCGTCCACACCGCAGTTGATCGCTTACTTCTTTGTTGCCAGTGTTAGATCTCATCTCCAAGTGCGAGGCCTTAATTAACGATGCAATTAACGATGGCGTGACGACACGCCGCACCGATAAAAGGTTTTGAATGTCTGGACCCGCGACAACTTATTTTCCTCACTCTATCATTCAATGGCGAAGGGAGCGTCCAAACAGAAGGGCGCTACAACCGAAGTTCTCAAATACGCCGCCACCGCAGCCGAAATGCTTCGGGATCTGACTCAAACATGGCATATCCCCTTTTTAGAAGACGCCGCGGAGACGATTTCGGTTTTGTTGGGTGAAATAAATGTTCGCTTTCTCTGTCCTTTAGCCGTTCAACTGATTGAACTGCCCGATTTAGATAATGAAGACGAACAAGGGACTGCTGGGCATTGTTGGGCTCATACATCAGCTTGTCGGCGCCATCGTTCATGTATGCCTGGTGGAACAGGGTATTCTACCGATCAAACTGTTAGACAGCATCGGACTCTTCGTTAAGTACGTCCCGCTTTGTCCAACGACGACAAAAACTTGTCTCATTTTGCTCCAAGAACTCTCCGGAAAATACAGAGTTCTGTGCAACTACACCAGGAGCTAGGAAAGATCAAGCGCTTGATTCGGCAGCATGAAATCGGTGTCGAGCTTCGTACATATGAAGAAGAATTAGAGACCATTTTGAGTACTTTCAAGGTACGATATCCATTCTAGGCTCGGGGCTGTTTCTCACATCGATTGAAGATTCTGAACGGAGCCACACTGGCTACTGATCTGATTGAACTTGAGTTAAATGCACAACAGCGACACGAAGAATTGATGACCCTTCTTGCCGCTCAAGAGGATGGAAAGGCTTCAGAATATTCATTTTCGGTAGGTGCTATATGTTTTGAGTCGCCCTCTGACTTTAAGTAACGTCCGTCGTCAGTTCCGAGGAAGCAACAGGTTAGTGTCGGCTTCGCGATTCATACCATTTGCCGACGAACTCTGGTCTTAGTTCCAGTATATTCTCCTTGTTGCCGCCGCTTCCGAAATTTTTCCATGGCAGAGAGTCGGAACTAGCGCAAATCGTAAAGACCCTACAAAAACAACCAGCGCACCTCGCAATTTTGGGTCCAGGAGGCATGGGCAAAACGACTTTGGCGGTCGCCGCACTCCATCACCCGGACATTATTTCCAAGTACGAGCAGCGACATTTCATCTCGTGCGAATCAGCATTCGGGAACAGTCAGCTCGTTGATATAATTGCCGCTCACCTAGGCCTCGAGCCTTCAAAACACCTTTCGACAGCGATTGTGGGCCATTTTATCAACTGTGGAACGACGTTGTTGGTGCTCGATAATCTCGAGACGTCATGGGAGGATGTTGAAAGTCGAGTGGAGGTTGAAGACTTGCTTGCCTTGTTGAGCGGGGTGCCGCAGTTGGCGTTGCTTGTGAGTTTGCGAGTTTGCGACACAGTTGTGTTGGCCCTTGGTTAACTGGCGTCTAGATTACCATGCGTGGTGCAGAGAGACCTGCGAGAGTAAAGTGGACTCGCACGTTTCTTCCTCCGCTGGAGCCTCTTCATTCATCCGCTTCGCGCCAAACGTTCATCGAAATTGCCGACGTGCCTCCCAATGCAGAGGAAGGATCTGACCTAGAGGAACTTCTGAGGCTCAGCGGAAACCTACCGCTTGCCGTGAGCCTTATGGCAGCCGTAGCATCCTACGAAGGCTACTCGAATACCTTACATCGGTGGGAAACCGAGAACTACGCCCTTTTATCTGATGGCCATGACAAAAAATCGAACCCGCGGATGCTTTCCTCCCCAAACGCCAAAAGGTTTCTCATCCTCCTCTCGTTCCTGCCCGACGGACTCTGTGAAATCGATATGCGTTCACGTGAGGCGCTGGACATTCCCAATATCCTGCAATGCAGGGCAGTGCTTCTCCGCACGTCTTTGGCGTACATGGAACAAGGGCGCCTCAAGGTGTTGAGTCCCATCCGCCAATACATAAAGAGTGTTTACCCGCCGCCGCATGAGACGGTGGAATGCCTGCGCAGGCATTGGGAGAGTCTTCTGACCCTGTGGAAAGCACACAAGGAACTGCCGTCTCGGGAACTCGTATGGCGACTCACATCGAATCTCGGAAACATTGATAGCGTCACTCAAATCGCCTTGTCTCGGAAACTCTCTTCCTCGGATAAACGCCATCTCATGCGCAGCATTCTCGGCTTGGATCTTTTCACGCAATGTGTCCTGAATGGTAAAAGCCCGTTCACCCAGCAGGCGGTTCATCATATCCAGTCGAACGGCGATCGACGGTTACGCTGGGAGCATATATGTTCCTGTCTCGATGTCGTAGACTATTACAATCTTCTACCCGATCAAGCGGAAGTGTTGATTGAGAAGGGAATCCAATTTTCTGAATCGGAGGAAGGAGATCCCTCCAGCCGCTGTGAGTAGACCACACTCTTAGTGAGCGGAGCGTCAGTAAACTAATCCATCTTACAGTCGATTTCTACAAAATCGCCGCCAGGTACCAGTATACGTCCGGCAACCTGCCCAAAGCCCTGCATTTTAATCGGTTGGGGTTGACGGAAACTGAAAAGCAAAACGTTCGGGAACAGCTCAACGCGATTAAACTGACGGTGGACCGCCACACCAGCATTCTACACTCCATTTCGGGACAATGGCTGGCGGATGCAGACAAGCAGCCAACACCATATTGGTCCATAACCAAGCTGCTCCACGCATCCGATCTGTGCAAACTGGGCCGCGACATTCTGGTTACAGAAGGGTATACGAGCTCCTCGCGGGAAGTCAACATGCTCGACATGGAGGCAGGGATCAAGTTCGAGAAGAGCGAGTACGACGAATCCCGCACGTTGTACGAGGGGGTCGTGCGCATGACCGACCAGGATCGGCACCGGTATTTTCACGCGAATGCCCTGCTGAACTTGGTCAAGATCGATCAGACTGTAGGAAGGACTGAAGCTGATATCATTCGCGGCCTGGAAGTCGCCAAGCAGACGGTCGAGCGCTTGGACTGGATGCAGGGCATGCTGTTCTGCGACCGGCTGATGGCGGGTGTCCATTTGGCGCGAGGTGAAACTGCGGCCGCACGAGACAGATATACTTCGTGCCTTCAGTCCTATCGGCGGGCGTACATGATCCCAGGAATCACACAATGCTTGGAAATGCTTGGGGATCTCAGGCACGGAATGTCGGATTTAGAGACCACTTTCCACTGGGCTGGGACATATCTTGCC